TCATGAAAATATAGATAATAAGCTTTCATTTGATACCAGTTTCACTATGTCTCCAGGGGGGTGCTACGAAAACTGATTTTTCAGGTCTCAGCTCATGGACTAAAGCGCGCAAAAGTCAACCAAACACCTTGGATAACAACAAAGCTACTTGAAGTACGCCGAGATCGAGACTTTCATCGGACTAAATTGAGAAATTATGCCAACCATGAAGATAAACGGCTCAAATCAGAATACTATTTAGTGTTCTTCAAAATCAGCATCAGAGTTACAGAAGATTTTGAATGAATACCTACACCGCCTTGCACAGTGCGTGGCTTGCAGACCCATAGACTTACTCTGAATATTAGCAAATCTAAATTTATGCTCGAAGATACTCGAATCCTTTAGTCAAGTTTCTCTAAATATTAATACTTAGAATTGGACAAGGTGGAGTCCTTTAAATATCTGGGCGCGGTTATTCATGAGACCCTGTCCTGGACAGATCACGTAGATATTGTTTGCAAAAAAGCATATAAACGAATTGGAATCTTTCGAAGAATAAAGCACCTACTACCAATGGCCACAAGAGAATTGTTTGTCAAGACAATGATCTTGCCTATATAAGACTATTGGGATATTGTGTGGCGCGATAAGCATAAACATAGTTAATTATTAACTATGGCATAATCAAGTCTTGATGTAGAAGATTCAAGTCACCCAGAATGCTGCTGCAAAGGTAATTCTAGATAGACTTAAACACTCTTCTGCTACTAAAGCTCTGGCAGAATTAAACTTGAGGACGATGTAAGCGAGACGACGCATGCACCATTTTTCATTATTATCTAAGGCCTCGTCCACGCGTACCCGGAAATTTTTGTATCCGCAATTTTTTTTTGCAGATACGGGTTGCGTCCACACGTGTCCGCAAATTTTTCTATCCGTATCCTGAAATTTTACGAAAACGGATACGTGTGGACGGTGAAAACGATTCGAATACGCTGCGTGTGGACGCAAACATTTTCGTATCCGCTAAAAATAATTTGAGGATACAAAAATTTCCGGATACGTGTGGCCTTTGCCTCCAATCAAATTTCTGCTCGAGCTCATACAGTTGTAGGTTCATAGTATAAACAAGTAAGAAAAAGTAGGGCTATATTTGGTTCAAATAACCATGACAACAACAAAGCATATCGGATGTATAAACTGTGAAGTATTTAAAATAGATTAAATGCCCTAAAAATGTCTTTTTGGGGGCACATGGTAAGGTTAGTCCCAAAAAGTGTAAAATAACATTAATCAGGAAATTCCGCTATTGCATGCCTGGCCTATTTTACGTGCTTTCCTGCTACAGCATGTTTGTATGTTTTGTAATTTCCTGTTAATAGTCCATATAAACTGTTGTAATAATACTCATTTGTAAACTCCCTGAAGAAGTCTGTTGTTTACAGACGAAACGCGTCGGAGTAATAAAAAAGTTTACAAAACCTAAGGAAAGATCAGTTGTTCATTTGTGCTGCTCACCTGTCATTTACACAAGAGGGGAGGGCCATGGTATTTTATGCTAGGCCCAAGGGGAGGGTAAGGAAATTTCATTCCCATTGCTTATGGATAGGCACCCCATTTCCAACTCCAAATTCCCCCGGATCAATAGGAATGCTCAAAAAATCGGTTACAACCAGAGCCTCTCGTTTCTGACCAAGAAGAACGTGGGCTCTGGGTACGAGATTGGTCCCTAACTACACTTTCTTATTAAAGTTTATAAACTGGGTTACCTGTGGCCTAGCCCGCTGACCAAAAAGCCTACTTGCCAGTATAGGGAAGTGACGTCATCACTTCAGAGATTTCCAAGAACTAACATGACCGACACCACAGACACAGACTTATGAAAGAAAGGAGGAAAGAAAGTGAAAAGTTGGCGTTTTTAAAGTTTTTTTTCCCCATTTGGTAAGTGCAAATACAATGAAATAGATGTTAGGTAATCTTCTGGATTACTAGTGTATTGTGCGGTATTTGTAGATTATCGAAAGGCGTTTGACACTATTGAGCATGCTACCTTACTAGAAAAACTGAAGCTACTTGGTATCTGTGATAAAGAGCAACGTTGGATGGCCGAATATCTTAAAAATCGTACCCAGTCAGTATTTCTTGGTGGTTCATTGTCAGATCCTCAAGTTATGGTTTCTGGAGTACCACAAGGATCCGTATTAGGCCCTTCGTTGTTTTCTCTTTATGTTTCAGATCTTCCGAATTGTTTACAAAACACTAAAATACTGATGTATGCTGATGATACCGTTATTTACTGCTCTGCCCCAAACATGGCTCAGTTAACTCAAAAGCTAAACAACGAGCTTAAAAACCTTGCTGATTGGTCAAAGTTAAATGATCTCTACATCCACCCCAAGAAAACCA